ATAAAAATATGGAAATATTAGAACCGCTGGTTACATTTATTATTTGTAATAAATTAACTTACAAAACCTAATATTTTTACAGAAGGAAATTAGAATTTTACAAATGTTAATAAACAACCATAGCAAATTAAAGTCACTGGAGGTAATTTTTCAGATGTAAAGCAAAAGTTTACAAGAATTTTTTACTATATTATTGGAATTGTCCAGTCATCGGACAATTCAGATTATCCAGATCCATCAATCGATGGATTGTTTGTCTTAACGTCGATAGGGCTTTTTTGTTACATAAACCCTTCAGTAGTTTCCAGTTCCACTCGGCCGATATCGTTCTGCTTCTCTTTCTTTTTTATTTGTCTTAGGTGAGTGGTAAATAAATATCTTTCTCGCCTATCACCATTCACCTAAATCCCTTGCTTATTGTATTGAATCAATTTTAATTTAATTTATCACAACTGCCTACTTTGAGTAAAGGGAATGGAGCGGGATTAGATTATTAGACTTAGACACCTCTTCTTTATCCCTCTACTTCTTGTTTAATATAGTTGTCTCTTGTCTCGCTTTTTAAGTTACTTCAGTTTTTTTTCCGTTATATTCTATATTATACAATCTATGTCACCTGCTGTTTATGCTGTCCCATCTAAAATAAGTTTTTCTCATTGGAATTGCTACTATGTATCCATGCTCGATTGTGAAAATCTTTTAACATTTAAGTAGATCTGTTAATAACAAAATAAAAACATATGAGCAAAAAAGCTGTTAGATTTAGGTAACAATCTACAAAAACAAATACAAACATAATAAAAGGAGTAATAAAACGGTACATGAAAAAAGAACATTATTAAAAAATATCGATGAAAAGTTCAAAAGAAATGGAAAGAAATTTTTTAACCTAAATAAGTTAAGAGAATTAAAGCGAATTATAATAAGTACAATACCAGAAAGAAAGAAAAAGAAAACCCATTTAACAGTTTAATTCTAAAGAGATTTTTATCAACTTGCGGTGCCAATCCGCTCCGGATATTCTTCTTCTTAGCGTTTCATCATAGATTTTTGGGCATCTCCTAACTCCTTCCATTGCTATTTATCCTGAGCAACATACTTTCAATATGTTTTGGCTACTTTTTTGATGTCATCTGCCCATTTTATCTGTGGTCTTCGTCTTGGTTGTCTATCGTCCTTTATAAGTTCTCTAATGTTGTATTGTAGTGTTCCAACGTTGGTCTTTTTGTCTAGCAGTGCGCCTGGAAAGCTCCATTTGAGTTTGGCAATTTTTGTTGCGATATATCATCGACTTTGTATCTGACAATCATATACTTAACATTGTCCTCTCCATTGCCCGTTCTGTTGTAGCTAGTTTATTCATATTTGCCTTGGTTAGGGTCCAGTTTTAACACCCTTATACCATGATAGGAAGGATGCATTGAAGGAACCATGAAGGAAGGATTAAATACTTTGCTCCTCAAGCATTGAGGTATTTTGCTGCTCTTCAGGTGATTTGTACACTTTGGATCTCTTTGTCACTTTTCACAATTTGTTCTAAGTGGATATATTCTTAAACTTGTTCTCGAAAATTAATAGACAGAATAGAAATAAAAAAAATTGAATGATGGCAATTAGAATATTTAGCAAAATTTGAAAGAACTATAAGCATAAAAGTATTTTTGTTCCCATAAAAACATAACAGCATAAAAACCAAATAATGATCAAAGGGGCTCCAAAAAAGATATAAAGTACACACTACAAAATAATAATTAACAAACGTAGTTCTCGAAGATATTTAAAGTATATTTAGCTGCCAAAACGGTTACAAAATTCGTGGTAACTAATCTAAAGTAGAAGTTAAAACAAAACAAAAATAAAAAAAGGAATATTTAAAAAATAAAAACAATGGAAAAAAATTATTAATACAAAAATAAAATAAAAATTAAACAATAAACAAAAAAAATATAAAGCAAATTAAAAAGTAGTATTTTTGTTAACAAAAAATAAAAACAAAAATAAGCACAAAATGATAAAAATATTATGTAAAAGAAAAATTTAAAAAAACACATAAAATAAAAGTTGTACGACGAACTTCTGCCAAAGTTGAAGTTAGTGAAAAAATATAGATAGTTTATCTGATCGTCATTATATTAAGAAATCATAAGACACAACAAAAAAAAAATGACGATATTGACAAAATAAAAAACGAACGAAGAAGATATGAATAAAAGTATTTGAAAATGAAAAACAAAAAAATCCTCATTGATTCTAAAACTTTAATAAATAGATTACTTACTACATATCTCAAACATCTTCAACGTTGTTGATATCCTGGACGGAATTTCATGATGAATGGATTATTATTCCTTTTGAAGTGACAATATCAGTCTAAAACATATTTGAACAAAATACGTTAGAAAAAACTGCCAACTGCACGATTTATTTCATCTAAAATTCGACTTAATAACTAAGAACTGGCTGAACTAGGAGACTTACATATTAATCTTTGGCAAAGTCGATTTACTCTCAGAAGAGGATTATATTCGAGAAGTTCTAGGATTTAGGAGAGGAAGATTTTTCCATTAGGCTAGGTACCAGCTTCTTTAAGGAATGTATGTATCACTGCATGCTCTTCGTCGCATACTAATGCGCGCGCTGATTTGCATTACCCTGACTGGAAAACCTTCCCATTTGCGTTGGGTATTTACAGACTGTGAAATTCCAATATCGCTATGAACTATGAACCAACTTCTTTGTATAAATATGGACAATTTTTAAGTCAGGTCAATGAGTCTGATGTCTCTTGATCATATCAAATATAAGAATAGCTAGTCTTTCTTATATATAATACTATATATAAACAATGTATAAATCCTCCCTTAGATGAATTGATAGCATAAGATTCTTCATTTAAGGCTGTCGAAGAACTCTGTAGAGCATACGAGGCAAGAATCAGGAAACCGTATATTTTGCCAAACAGACAACATCGCTCAAACTGCCAAAATCTTTTAACTGGCTATCTGATTTGGAAAGATCGAAAATGCCCATCGATAATCTCCGAGAACAAACAAATCTCAGAGATAAAAAAGGGTTTTTTTTAGTCAGAAGCCAGTTCAAGCTCAACCTCGCAAACGACTATTTCCAAGTTAAGACTCACATATCCACCTAGATTCTGCCTTTCTTAAAACAATCAAAAAACCTGAATTGAAGGAAGTTCAAGAGTGCTAGTCAGACTAATGTTCCTCCGACCTAGCGACAGCTCTTTCTTCGAGCTAACCCTCATCGACGACATGGCGCCCAAAAAGAAGAAGAACCTACTACCCAAAACCAATATACAACAACAGAAACTACGATGACAGTGTTATTCTAAACGTTACCGACATTCTTCCTTACACGTGAGGCGAGAGCCCAAGCTAAAACAATCATTTGGAACACCAGACCCCCAAATTCGGGGGACATGAAACATTTTCGGCACAATTTGTAGGCAGAAATTCCTGATAAATGGAGTGAAAAAAGAAGACTGGTTAGACTATCTCATAGCAAACTCATTGCAAGGCGAAGCGAAATCATTGGCAGAGTTTGCCGAAATTGGCTATAAGATGTTTAAAAAATTCAATTCCTGGAAAAATTGGATGATTCGATGATTTTTTTTTTGTAGCATAGCCTTTCGTCATTATTCCATGATTTTATCAAAACTAACAGTAAAGCTATACTGTAAAAATTGCTGAAAAAACATAAAGTAAAAAACAAGACTGGACCTTCCAAATTCTGAGGACATGGAACATTTTCGGCACAAGTCCTAGGTAGAGCAGAGAAATTTTTAAAGAAACACAGAGTAAAAAAAAGACTGGTTAGACTATCTCATAGCAAACTTATTGCAAAATGAAGCAAAATCATTGGCAGTTTGCGGAGATTGGCTATAAGATGTTTAAAAATCAATTCCTAGAAAAATTAGATGACTTCATGATTTTATCCAAACTGACAGTAAAGTTATACAGTCAACATGCGATACTCATAAGGAATATTGTCGAGGACATCGAAGTATTCTTCTAGAAGGTAATGATAGGAACATTAGGGTAAAAACGATATTTTGTTTTTAGGGCGTCTGGATAGATAGATATATTTAGAGAGGCCTTTTGGCCTATTTCACTGCGACCTTTTCAGATCTATTGTGATTCTCTAGTGATAGATAACATTTTCTAGCCTGACCCTTTTTATAAAGTCTAATAGCTTTGAGACTGTATTTTCCATATAACTATTTGTCGATGGATTTTCTTCTCCAATGCAAGTAAGCAATGCTTACTTGCAAGCAATGTAAAAAGCAATGTAAAAGCAATGTCTCCTAAGTAATGTAAAAGCAGCAAAAGTGCTTTTTACTAATAATGGTGTAAAAGAGTTCAGAAGTAAAATAAATGTTTTATGCTGTTATACATAAATGAAGAAAATTTACGGACTGGAAAGAGATAAAGATTATCTTTATTATTATAATTATGAACAAACAATACAACAGTCTCTGAAATTTTGCAAGTGAATAGATTTAATTACAGAGTTCAGAACTGTCAGTCATGAGTTGGACGGTTTGTGTGTTTTCTCCAACTTGTACTGGAAAATAATATTTAACGAAGCCTTGGGTATGCAACGTAAAGCTCAAATTAGAGAAGGAGGGTCCAAATGATAAATCATTAACATTGGATATGATGATGGTACAAAAATCATAGCTGAAAGTATGGAAAATCTTCGTATCATTATAGACTAAGTCACTAGAGAATGCTTCAAGAATGGACTTGGTATAAATACACCAAAGACAAAGCTACTTGTGGTTAGTAAACAAGACGTTGGTCTTATGCAGCTAATTTTCAACAATGTACCAAATACAAAAGTTCATTTTAAATTCTTACGACGCTGAATAAATGACACAGTAAATCCTGACAACTATTATATAGATAGCAAGAGGATCACTTATAGAAATAGAATCCATTCTTCTTCTTAACATGCCATACACCAAAGTGCGTAGTCTACTATCTCATTACTAGAATTCTGTTCTTGGCGGCGTGACACAGCTCGCCTGTGTTGTGTATTCCTGTCCATTCTTGAATATTCCTTAACCAGGATAATTGTTTGCGGCCGGCTCCTCTCCTACCTTCGATCTTCCCTTGTAGGATTAACTGTGGTATTTCATATTTTGCTCCTCTTAATATGTGCCCAAGGTAACCAATCTTGCGTTTTTTAATTAATTCAAAGAGTTCTCTTTCCACGCCGGCTCTCTTAAGGACGTCATCGTTTCGAACTCTATCCACCCAAGGTATGCGCATCATTTTTCTCAATGATCACATTTCAAATGCTTCAAGTTTGTTGGTAGATGTTTTTTTCAAAGTCCACGTTTCCATGCCATAAAGCAAGATGGACCATATGTAGCACTTGACCATTCTGTAACGTATTTCGAAATTTAGATTTTGATTACATAGGAGCGGTCTGAATTTCACAAAAGCTTGTCTTGCCATTTGTATTCGGGTTTTTATCTCGTGTTGTGGATCCGATTGGTCATTGATTGTGGTGCCAAGGTATTTAAAAGTTTTCACGCATTTTATACGATCGTCACCTATGCATATTATCGGGTTTTCTGGAGGGTTTCTGCTAATGACCATATATTTCGTTTTCAAAATGTTGATTTTTAGGCCATATTTTTTACGTATGCTATTCACCCTATCAAGTAATAACTGCTGATCTTCCAAATTAGCAGTTATAATCACTGTGTCGTCCGCAGTCGTACTATTCTGCAAACTAAGTTGCCATACACAATTTATAAGTGCCAAATGAGGCTTTTAATTCCATTAAAATCAGGTAGAGATAATTTTTTAGTATATCACTGAGAAAAAAAACTACTTACTTAGATCCTTCATCATAAGAATTAATAACATTCAACTTCATGTCTTGAACATAAAGATCACCAAGCCAAAGGGGGACAATTATCAATTAATCCTGCTAAACACTTCTTTATGAGTTTACATACATTACAACATCGTCTGAAGCAAGGGAAGCTAATAGCCTAGCTATTATCCTAGCTAAGAGTACCACAAGGAAAGTGCAGATCAATCAGTATTTAACAAATAAAATTATATATGAAAAAGCAAATACTTACGTAAAACATTCTTCTAAATATTTCCTTTTACTGTTATATTACTTCCTGGAAATCAAATTAGTTGTATAGGAATAACATTAAGAAAAATCAATTTAACCACGTACATTTTCAAATATATATATATATATATATATATATATATATATATATATATAAGATATTATATTTATAGAAATATTAAATAAAATTTAGGAAGCCAACAAAACAAATGTATTTTAAAGTATGTAAAATACTTTGCTAGCTTTACTAAAAATCCATAATATTATAGTGATCAGAAACTTCTCATGGTAATGTGTTACATAATTCGAAAATACACCTTCTGTTGATCTTCCTTACTATTGTACAGTGTCGCAAAATAAGCAAATCAAGTTACCTTCTCCTGGTTATATACCCAACTTACCATTAATGACGTGCAAATACGCACTGGCAGAGTCCAAATTGGACGGACTGCAGGTGTAGTTGCCGGCGTCCTCTGGTCTCGTGCGGAATATCGTCATGGTGCTGATAGTAGTGTCAGTGCCCTTCCGTGACATACGGATGTCGATGGCACTTTGGTCGTACTTGAGCACCCGTTCTCCGTCGTGATACCAGAAAATGTAGGCGGGTTCTTCTAGGGACTGTGTGATCACACACTTGAGCTGGACTGTACTGCCACGTTTCACGTAGATGTCCGATTCACCTTCTATTTCGATCTTCGGAACTAAAAATATAACATAATAAATAAATATACTTCCTGTTAAGGTCCAAAATACTTTATTTCGTATACAATAATTCTCGATACAGCATCATAAACATACTTTTAGTATTATTTAGTGTAATATACCATCCTAAGTAACTGCATAACGTATGGGTAACATCAACTACCAAAAGCTATTTCAGTACTCATAATTAATCATTTTTTTAATAGATTATTATGTAAATATAGAATATAAAAAGTATAACACGTGTTTCAGCATATTCACGAACAAAGATAGGCGGATATCATATTCCTCTTATTGCTGTTGTTTTCAGTGCAAATTATTGACAGAAATAGACAAACTTTGCCAGGAAAGGATTCCAAGTCAACAAAATGCATCAAATAATATCTGGAATATGGCCAAGAGAAATATACAAATAGCCACTAAAATTTTCTTTTAGTGAAACTAAAGAGATTCAAGAACAATGCGACGAAGTAGAATAACCGCATATTTTTGTTAATTTTCATAAAAACATAAAAACAGCCTCACTATCCTTGAGAGACAGACGTATTGTCGATATTGGATAGAGAAGAACTGAAAGTATCTAACTTGAAACAATTACGCAACAATTTTGGTGCAAAAATCCTTGAACGTGAATTTAGACATGTAGTCTCTCTGTCTTTTCAGGTGTGACCTATCGGAGGGAGTGTAGTGATCATCTTAATGTCGTGTATTGTCTCCAAAGACCTCTATCTCTGATCGTTTCTTTGAACTCATGCATAGGTCTTTTGCTTATACCTGTAATTTGGTCGATAAAAACTACAAGTATAAGCAAAATCTTACTCATAATCTTCAGTCATCTTTCCTTGGATAATAAGTCTTTACATGTTTTCTGTGTCTGCTCGCATAACATGTCATAACTATTATATTTGGAGAGCTTGTGGGAGGGAGCAAACGCAAATATAATTGATCCAAATAATATGCTCAAGCGTCCAGTGGTCTGATTCTTAAAAAATCTGGTTTGATTAAGACAGAAGACTGATTCTTAAAAAATCCTAAAAAGTCCTAGTCTATACGATTGACAAGGTCTCGTATAAAGCATTGAGAGCTGCTCAGTTCAATGCCCATTATAAACTGTCAGGTAGTTCTTGAATCAGCATACATCCCATTTGATAATCCCGAACAACCACCATCAAGAGATTTGGAATAGCTAGTGAGAGATTGCAGGAAAAATGAACTGAAATTATTCATTGGCTGTAATGTTCCATCTGACTTGTATCTGTCTTATATGAGGTGTCTTGTTTAGAATATCGACACATTTTGAAATAACAGGAAATGAGCCAATCAAGGAAACCTATTGTCATTCGCGTAAAACAAATTGGGAAGCATATTAAGCATACGAGTGAGCATCGTTTATTTATAGATGAATAAAAAAATCATTTATGAAGATTATATGTTAGTAAATGTTATCAGTTTATGTTATATGTATATAAAATGTATATATTATGTTATGTATATAAAAAGTTATTATTAAATAATTCAAAAATAATTTAAAAATGATTTTAGTTATTATTAAAAGATTAGGGATAAAAAGTTCCAGTGTAACGGAAAATTTTAAAATTTAGTACCTTAAAAGTTTTTTAATATTGTTCTGAAGCTATTTTCTTGTGGCATTGTAAATTAATTACTATTAAACTGGGAATAAGCCACACTTAAAGATAAAAATACGTTTATTGACGTTTCAATTTCCACTTCGGAAATCGTTCTCAAAATACAAACAGTAAATTAAACAAATTTTGTTTTTTGTTACATAGTGAAAAATTCTTCTAATATTTTAATTTTATCTGACTCATTTATATTGACAATTCAGACATACATTATGCATTTTAAAGTAGACGACTTTAAAATGATATTGCCAATATTGTTGAGTTGCGCTCCTGGGACGACTTTACTTATAAGATAGTTCATTCGATTACATGAAATCAACTTTAACTTGAGAATATCCGTCAGAAAGAAAAAAAATCAAAGTATGTAATTTGTCTTTAAAAAGACAAACACATGACATGATGACAGTAAAATTCTCCTGTTAGTGATTCCATAGTAAATTATGAGGGAAAAACCAGGATAAAAACCTCATAATACTATCCCGACATTGTAAGTATTTGTTCGTGAATTTAGTTTACCTTCAACAAACATCAAAATTCTGATTTGATATGTTACGTTATTTAAAAAACATAAATGACGTATTCTCTATATGTTACTGACTTACTATAACTGGTATTTTCTTATTAATAACTTCCTCTTTCAATATTGATAACCAGATCCTACTACATTTGAAACACAATTGAAAAATCAAAGAAGCGGCTCTAATTATGCTAAATGAGGCCAATTGTGTCGCAAATTCCTCGGCAGAATGTTTTCTGACGGATATTCTCAAGTTAAAGTTGATTTCATGTAATCGAATGAACTATCTTATAAGTAAAGTCGTCCCAGGAGCGCAACTCAACAATATTGGCAATATCATTTTAAAGTCGTCTACTTTAAAATGCATAATGTATGTCTGAATTGTCAATATAAATGAGTCAGATAAAATTAAAATATTAGAAGAATTTTTCACTATGTAACAAAAAACAAAATTTGTTTAATTTACTGTTTGTATTTTGAGAACGATTTCCGAAGTGGAAATTGAAACGTCAATAAACGTATTTTTATCTTTAAGTGTGGCTTATTCCCAGTTTAATAGTAATTAACTTAAAAGTTTTATTAAATACTTTTTTTTAAACAGGACAATTGTTAAATGAAATAATTTACCATTATTTCTAATTTTATTATTAATTAAAAATTTACCAATTTAATATATTACAAATAAAGAGTTTATTGCGAAAAAAACAAAACAAAACAGTTTACAAATGAATGGCATCGAAATTTTAATAAGCGTCGGGACATAATAACTTCTTTCCCACTTTCCCCTAACTATATCTTTCATTATCTTTCATGATATGGTTTTAAGCCGACAGCCACGATTTGAGTTTATTCAGTAGCCCCTTCTGGAGTGTTTTGAAGTATAATAAAAGAGACGAAATCGCTTATTTGAAATGACTTTCTATATGAATCTACATTCTTTGGTTTTACTTTATTCGCTGTGTGTGAGTACTTGGAGGGGAACGATCGTGCGCATGCAGCAGTGAAATCGAGAATAAATGATTTTCCACAAATTTAAACAATTTAAAAATTTCAGTCTAAATTTTGGCGAGAGCGAATTTGAAAGTCGAAATTTTGGTGGAGTTGCTATGTCAGTTTTACTCTACACTAAAACTATAGAGTTTTTATTCGATTAAATAGTTAATTTAAATTTTAAATATTTAGCTCTTAAATACGCGACCAGGCGATCGCGAACAAGAGTGTGAGATGGATCTCCGGAAATATAGGCAAAGGCAAATGTTTTCAGTACATATTGTATAAGAAAAACAAGAAAAAGAAACATTTAAATATGATCCCATCTTCCGTTCTACGAGACATATCGCTGATATCATCGGCATAGGTGGCAATCTGTATTAATTTATTTGTTGGAAGATTAGCTCATCCTATATTCAACTATCTTATTACATATTCGAAAGATAGATTGAATAGTGTCTGTGCCAGCTCGTCTCCTAGCTTTAATCCTTTGACCATTGAAAAATTCTCAGTGAGCTGATTTTCTTTTCTGATAAATGCTGCCGACCACTCTATTTTTGTTTTTACTAGCCAGATGTATTTTAAGGGGACGTTAAAGCTATAGAATATTTTATATAACTTATGTCTATTAATTGAGTTTTAGGTCTGTATGAAATTTAAGAAGGTCGTATTCCCACAATTTATTTTGAATTTGTTTCACTTCTGAATAGCCGGTCAGTAGTAGATCTTCATTGTCAAAAATCGACTTAAAATTCTTCGACAATAATTTCAGTTAATTATTGAAGTTTGTGGAAAATTGTTGATAAGTAAAAGGTTGGGCCATAATTTTCAAAATACGCAAAAGGGTGAGAAACAATTTAAAAAGTTTTTCAGCTTTTATTGGCCATTACGTCAGTTTGCAGATTGTGTAAATGTTAGTTCGCTTGGCTTAACAGCAATTAATACGAGGGGTATTAACAAAGTAGCAGATTATGCTGTCGTAGATGAGTAAAAATGATATTCTCGTCCACTTTTTAATATACTTTTTAATATTTTGATGTGTGCGAATATTAAAAAAATACGTCATCATATATTCTCGTGAACTTTGTTCTTAAATTCAATTAATGTGTGTTTTAAAGTTCTTTACAAATTTTTTAATTCTCTCCGTTTAAGTTCTTTCCTGTGTTTCTTATCCCCACCTTCTTATATGCATTTTCCCCAAACCTTATGCTTTGTCTCCGACTATTAATAGAAGTTTCTTTTCTTTGATCAATAGCTAGAATTTTAAAAAAGCTGCTTAATAAAAGACTAGAGAAGCACAGTGCTGCCGTCATCTGTCTGTCCCATAACAAAGTTTATGTTATTGCTGAGTTTTGAAATCAAATCTCACTTATAGGTGTGAAAAATGAAAGAACATATTGATGAACTAGTCATTGCCTGTTAATGTAATTATGCACATAAGTACATACGCAGTAATTAATTAAATAAAAACTCTCACTCGTGGGAGACCATAGAGAAGGAAAGATTCTAAAAGGCATTTAAGCTATCTAGACCTAAGTCTAATATTAAACCCGCGGGATAGGTATTTTTTCGTAATTATTTTGGCATAAAACAATAGTTTTGCTTGCTTATAAGTTCAAATTAAAAAAGCAAATCCCAAACTTTATTATTGCATGGTTAAAACTATAAACATAACTAAAATAAGCGAGACCTTTTACAATTTTCTTAGATTCAATCAAGTTTAATTTCATCATATGAAGTCGATGAACATAAGTGTATTATTTATTTTCGAAAATCATTGTTACATCAATTAAATAAAATTGGCAATTTGAGGTGTTCTATAAATAACAATAAATCGACAGAAACTAAAATTTCGGCAATTAACATAATTTGTTAAACTTAAGTTCAAAAAGTATCGCTACCTCGATCTCCATTTTTCTCAAAACTATAATTTCTTGACTTATAATCCTTTGCACAAACACCACCGAATTGCACTGATGAGCCATTCGCTGAAGGTGGTGCTGAGCATAATCCATAATAGCATGTAAAAAAAGTG